TATTCCCATCACCGATACAATGAATTATTATAGGCTTTCCGCCACCATCACAATTTTCATCTCTCATTCGAGGATTCATTTGATTTAGAATACAATATTTCTTATTCCAAATGATAAAACTAATAATAAATAAATGAAAATTCTGTAACGAGTATTATACACTCATATATCACTGACTTTATAGAGTAAAAATTGTAAATGATGACTAAATAATGTTAAATATTACTAAATTTTGGACATTAAACTTTTAAAAATTATATTTTGAGTGTTGAACTTTTGATTTTACTACAAAATAGACATTGCATCGTTAACTAAATAAAAAATATTTCATTTTGCCTCTCATTTGTAACTAAAATTTATTTTTGACAATTTTTTTTTATATTTTTTAAGTAGTTATATAAAAAAATCAATTTAAAAATATATAAAATTTAACAATAAAATTTTAAAATTATATATTTTTAAATAAGTAGGGGCCATAAAACTATAGTTTTATGATTTTTTAGTTCATCAAATTATTTTTAGTTACTTTTTTTTATTTAATTGTAATTATATTTGTAAAATAAAAAATGTATAATTGTGATTAAATTTTATAATTATATGTTTTCGAAAAACTCTTAATCATTTGAAAATGAACGCTTAGACACTTTTACCGACGACGTGCTTGTACTCGAGACTAATAAAAATAAAAATTATCTCTTTAATCATCGATGTTGTTTGACTCATACTAATATCATCATATGTTTAATGTTATGCTATAAATAAATGTGTATATATGTTATGTAAAAATAAAAATAAAAGATGATAGGTGTAGGGATGGATGCATATGGCTCTTTACGGGAGCAATTACTCATTTATTATTTTGAGAAAAATATTAAATTTGGTTTGTTTTATTAACGAAAATGAAAAAATAAGAAATTTGCACACTTAAAATTTTTTAGAACAAAATATTAAAATTTTGAATCTCGTTATTAAATTTTTAGATCCGTCGTTACGTAGAATGTGGACCTCACGGTGTGGATACCCTATCATGCCCATTGGATGGGAATGGGAATGGGAATTTGGGCAATGAAGACGCGACAAATAATATGGAAGCAATCAAGGACAAGAATTTAAGGCTTATCACAGTGTTACATGGTCAAAGAGAAAAAAAAGGCCCACAAGAAGCCCAATATAGGGGTCCTTCACGAGCTTAGAAAAGAAAGAAAAAAATATAGGTGAATATAAGATAGTATTTATTAAAAAATTCTTAATTATTTGAATGTTTATATCTATGCATACATAATGGTCGAATCCAAAACCTCAAAAAAATAATAATGATTCTTTAACTATTGAGTATGTTTAATTCATATTATTTATTTTTAAAATTGAGATGTAATGATCATGTTTGTGTGATTGTTTGGTAAGATAATTTTCAGTGGAATAGATCATTGGTTGTTAGACAGTCACAGTGATGCATCCCACCATGTCACTGAAAATTTGAAGCTATTACTGTTGACCCTTTTTTAGGGTGGATTTTATCATGTAATATTTTTCTATTGCGTAATTATTTCATATTCCAATGGTGTGTTTGGTTCGGAGAATGTGAGATTTCTATGGGAATGGAATCCATATTCCCCCGTTTGGTTGGCCGAGAATGTCATTCCCGGTAATCTTACATTACCAATAGTAGATTTTTTGGGGTATATTACCTGGAATGTTATTACCTTCATTTCCTTAGGTATTATTGGATTATAGACGTTTTAGACTAAAATGCCCTTAAAAAAATTCTTTTAAAAATATCCTTATTCTGTCATTGAATAGTAAAAATTCTACGAAGGTTAAATTACAAATTTATCCTTAAACTATTTTAGATTTACAAAAAAATCTATAATTAAAATTTTATATGAAATTCAGGGGTTAAAATAAAATTTTTCCCTTTCATTAAACCTTTTTATATTTTCAATTTTATAAAAAAATTATATAAATTTTATGAATTTAAATTTTTTTAAAAAAATATATAAATACTTTCCAACTTTTTAAATTTTGAATGGGTTTATTGAGTTTTGATCTTTGGGTATAAAAACTCATTCGTATAATAAAATAAATAACTAAATGTTTTTCTAATTATATTTTTAGTTTAAATTCATTTCTAATAAAATACCTATTCAACTTTCCCTTCTCATTTTAGTCGATTACTGAACCCTAACCCCTTAACACTACATTCTCTCATAGGTACATCTTCCATCACCATGATCGTTATCTCACACGATATCATTCGTCGAAGATCCTGAAATTATTTTTATTCATTTCGGTTCAATTTGTTACTTCTGCCCGCCCGTTTCATTTTTCAGTTTTCTGACGTTGGTTATATCTCACAATTGTTTGTTGTCCTTTATCAGTGCGTCACCAACAATCGTAACACGTGTCCTTATCGGTGATTGAGTCTCAACCGTAGGCATTCTACTCTTGCTATTGTTCACGTAGTGTTGTTGTACACACTACATCTTGTCGTTTCTTACTCATTGGAAGCACCGTGGTCATTGTCTTGGTTGCTGAAAATCCAGATGGTGGCCATCGATGTTCTTCTTTTGTAGATCCATATCAGATTGAAGTTTCATTCCAGATGTGATGGGAGTTTTGCTCCTGATATGGTCTTCTTCCGCTGCTTATAAATCTTGTCCTTTATTTGTATTTCCACCGGGATCAGTGGCCCCAGCAGCAGCATACGCACCTGTTGCTGCAAGAACAACATACTCTTTTGTTGTAAACATCTCACCAGCTGATGTCAATTCACAAGATTCTTGATACTTGAATCGAAGTAAGCTCTTGACTAAATTAGTTGATTAGTTGAACTGTTCATCATCTGAGTTCGACGGCATTCGTGTTCTGGGATTAATTTGAGTTTGCTAGTATGTTATTCTACGTTTGTAACTTTAAGAGAAGGTTCGATATTGCTATCACTTTGAATAAAGTTGGATTAGTCGGTTGTTCATTCATTGTCTGCTTGAGGAGAAGCATCAATATATTCAGTTCTTGTCCTAATCTTTAGAGAATTTTAATCTTAGAAAAGAAATGAAAAACCAAATAGAAATCATGGGGAATTTGTTGTCGCTTACTCGAGGAAAGAAATGACTGAAAAGTAAAAAGGAATCCCTAAAACCTTGTATATAATAATTTAGTAATTTATGTCAAATTAGAGAGGGTCGGTGATTTTTCATTTTAGACTTTCTATTATATTCTCGTTCCGATTCGTCCGAACCCAACGAAAGAACCTCTTTATAAATATGAAATCAATTATACAAGCTAACACCAAAAACTAAAAAGAAATATAATGCCCAAACATTTGGCTATTTGCTAATCATGAAACTAAAATTCTCGTTATATCAAATACATTTCAATAATATGACTATTATCGAAATTCCTTATCATGAAATTTGTCCATTTCCTCATTCAACCACCAAAGACATCGCAAAAAGGAAGCTATATAACATTGATAATAAATGTTGAACAAATCAAAATCCATTGTTTTTTTCTTCTAAATTTATTTGGTTATTGAAGGACCCAATCTTTATTTTCAGTTGATATTGATGGCCTCAACTTGACTACGACTACAATTTATTTTCAAAAAGAAATGTATATGATTGGATAATAAATTGAAAATATTATTTTTATTTGAGGACAAATATACACTGTTAATTCAAAGAAAATCCCTCAAACTTAAATCTCTAAAAATAAGGTCAATGTAGTCTTATTGATGTAGGGTCAATTCAGTATTGTGACTAATATGCTCATTTAGATTCCTAGGTTGGGTGGCATGTACTACGAGTCTTGTTAACCGGCGGATGAAAGTATAATTCGGGATAAGCAGAATGGATTTCAAATTTTTTTTATTGCTTATCTATTTATTTATTCCATCCATCTTGAAATTTAATTTTTTTATTATAAAATTATGATGTTAATATGCATGCACATCTTCAAAAATATTTCTGAATCCGCTACTAATATTTTTTTTTTGTAATAAATCGCTACTAATATTAATTGTCCTTAGGTTAAGCCTAATACCTTCAATAGGACAAATTTACACGTTTGACTGAAGTTAATTACGTGAAAATTTAATCCTTTGATTAGAAAAAGTAAAGTTCATCCCATTTTATAAAAAAAAATGAAATCTTTTTCCTTCTTTCCATTTTTCTCTTCATTCTCATTTTTGTGGTTTTCAGTACAGTACGCTTTTATGGACTCATGCCAATTGTTCACAAAATTGACCAAAAGCAAATGGATAACCCTTTCGAGTTTTTCCCCCCTTTAAAAAAGATGAAATTTTATAGGCCATTTTATTTACCTTCAAACAAAACAAAAAAGGGTGAAACTAATAAAGCGACAAAATTTCATGGAAGCTTGGTGGTAAATGTCCATTAGAACCCGGTATTGTAGGGACGACTAACCGGAAAGCAGCATGCAAATATGGAATAGGCTTGGCATCGCCAATGGTGCTTGTCCACCGCCGAACAAAGCTGCAATGTTTGGCCGCCGCACTTCCTGCAAATCACAAGGACTTTAGAATCGAATGCCAATGCCACTCTATTTAAAAATGGCTACATTCTACTTTTTACTGCAAACAATGGTAAACTTGGTGTTTACAAAAGAAATGGCAATTGAGCAATGACGAGAAACAAAACGGTACCGTTCTTCAACAGCCTAAATATAAGAGAAACTCTAGAAAATAGTCTACATTTCATTTAACTCTCGGAAACTATCATGTTAGAATGCTTAAATGATGTAACAATGACATTTCTTTTGTCTGCGGGTTGATCATCTTACATGAGAAGCAGGTAAGCAAATCAGCTGTCCCAGATGTCCAAACATAACCTATAAAAACACAATCAGCAGATAAAGAGAGATTAGTAAATCACAAATGACTAGTTTATCAACGTTTAATACGACTATCTAAATTCCTGCTCCATCTACACAGGCAAATAAAGGGACCGAAGCAAGTTCCTTCTTTTGCTTACTTGTGTGAGTTTGGATTCAAATATGCCGGCGCAGCCTGAACAGGATGATATGACTAGCGAATCTAAGTGGCTGGGTTCTATTCCCCATATGCCCAACAATCTAAAGCCAAAAAATGAAAACGATGTTAGTAATAAAATCAGGATTAGAAATACTTCACCAATGCACATACTAACAACTCTCCATGGACGGTTGACATGATCATCATAAGAAGACTCAAACAGGCGACAGTCAAGTGAGACCAAAATCTTTGTTGCACAAGAAATTGAGAGAAGCAATCAATTAAAAGCTAAACAAATCAATATGATGAATAGCATAGGGTTTGAAATAGAACGCTGGTGTATATATAGCTTGACATTTTCCAAATGCAGCCAAGTAAATTTTCTAGTCCTTCAAGGAAGAACTTTGAATGACAAAATGAAAACATACAATAAAAAAATCTAAGATTAAGATCATTTGAACCAAAAAAGCTTATAAAAAACATACAGGTTGAGAAAACTGTGAACCACTGACACCAGTTGCAGCTGATATGTTACCATAAGAGATAAACTTAGAAGGTGTAGAGGAACGAGGCGCAAAAGTGCCCATTCCAACCTCTGGATGAGAAACAGAAACAGCTACCATAGGTAAGTTGCCAGGTATGTACGACACATTGCGACTGTTGGTACTACGGGAGGAGCTGCTGATATGGCAGCAGTAACAAAAGATGGAGAGAAAATTTTTGCTCCGGGATTGAGCTTAAATTCCTGACAAAACAAACAAATAAATAAATAAAGCAGGAAACCATCAATATAGTTGAAGAAGATTGTATTAAGATAGCCACTTAGGAAACAGTATCACTAGTGTAAGATAACTAACTGATCAAAGAGTAAGCAGTTGACAGCTCAATGAAACATTAAACCACGAGGCTCGCATCCTGAGGTTCACGTGATATTGAGGCATTGACAACCTCATTACGATCATCTCATATCATAGAATTTCAAAACTATCTTAAATCAAGAGAATGGAATCCACCATTATTCTCTCTGGTAGACAGTAAAGCTATGTTGCAAGGACTGTTCATTTTTCTTGAAGTAACTGTGTCCGAAATTTGTGCTAGAAACGTGGATACAAGGATATGACTTCTAAGGATTCTCCGAACACATGAAAAAACTTGGAAAATTTTAACCATACATATTTGACTGAGTCCTTGTTACAGAGATATCAAGTCAAATTTTATATAATAGTTTTACCTTCAAGTTTTATTTAATTCCGAACTTTGTGGAGGGAGTATGATAGTCGGATTAGCAAATGACCGCTGGCATGATTCCAGGGAACAATTCATTACAGGATTAGGAGTTGAAACACCAGAACAAACAGCATCTTGGTGTATCTATTGCAGAAGGCCTTTCACAACATTGACTGTCATGTTCACCATCCACTGGAGTATCAAGAAATGTCCCAGTAAACAATAGCTTAATTGTCATCTAGGTTGCCGATAAGTCAAAAGGTTATCAATTTAATATAACTTTCACAGCTAATACAATGCATGCCAATTTATTTTCCATATAAAGGAGATCCAGATGGTTTAAACCTGCTTAAGAGTATCAATAGCAGAAGACTCGCAGCTTGAAACTGGGTATTGAACTTCCTTCTCCTGTAGAAATAATCTCATTAGTAAGTTGAATATTATCTTTAATTCTAGGTTTTATGTGAAGTACTTACACTCCGTTTAACATGAAACTCAAACTTTTGGCCAAGTTCATCCTGTGAAGCTGTGATCTATCCTCTCCAACCTGTCTGTCAGAAAAATAAATTGACACAAATCTGTGAATAAGAAAGATAAAAAATTACTGTACAAAAAAATTCAAAGAGATACATTAAATAACTCTTGGCACATCAGGAAGGAATCTAACATGATACGGTGACTTCCAAGTTATCTATATCTGACAGAAGCACAAGGTAAGCATTCCAAAAAATATCTTTCATTTTATTCTTTAAGCAACGAATGAGCAATTTAGTTGTAATGTAAGAACTCTTGATGGGACTATGAATGGAAAGGGAAATAACTAAGGAGAACAAAGAGAAGCATCATCTTTACTCTCGAGCATGTGCTTCATAAATTATTTTTACATTAGGAATGACCAAGTTGCCTCAAAATTCTCCTTACTCTCATGTAAAATGCTAACTTAATGTCAGACCTCCAAGTTTAAAACATCATAAAGAAGAAGTAAAACATAACATAAGTTCAATAGAAACGGTTCATTTTGAAAATCTTACAAGAGCAAGAAAAGTTCATCTGGGGAGAGAAACTTTGGAGGCTTTGGCTTGGGTTAAACTAGATGTTTCATGTGCATGTTCATATCTAAACATAGATCTCTTAACCAGAAATATGATCTGAAGTTTAGTGTGGAACTTGAGCAATAAGTGTGAAAGTTAAAGAAAATTCAGTTTCGTACCTCCTAGCACCAGAAGCATCTTCTCTGCGAGGGGGAAAATGAAAAATTTAGAACAACAAATGGAAGAAAGATGCATCATCACTAGGATAATATTCACTACAGAATGTATGCTATTTTACTTATGGTTGTTTTTTTTTATTTTTTTTTTGAAGAAGAAAGAAGAAACCAATATGAAGTAAGGAACATGATTGGATGTCACAGGGGAAGTGCAAATTTTTGTAGGAATGGTGAAGCCTCTGATGTAACTAAGACCCATCAAGAAGGTTTTCTTAAACAATTTTTTATAAGCAAAGATAAAAATATTTGCTAATATCTATTTGACATCTGATTCACATTTTTCCCTCAAGAAGAAAGGCTCAACTAAAAGATAGCTTTGAACTGGAGAAACCTACCTATTCAATTCAATGTATGTCTCATCTCTTTCCCAACTCAAATTTTATAAGCCAAAGATAAAAATGTATTTGCTAATATCTGTTTGACATCAGCTTCACATTTTTCCCCAAGAAGAAAGTTCAATTAAAAGATAGTTTTGAACTAGAAAAACTTACCTGTTCAGCGTTTGTCTCATCTCTTTTCTGATGTTCAACCTCCTCCTCATTTTCCATGGGATTCTCTAGCAACTTCGACCTTCATCTTCCTTTCCAGTATTCGTGGTATAAAACCATCAGCAATCCATTCTCGTTATGGGTTGAATTTCTGTTTTGATAGGAAATAAAATGAATATATGCTAGCAAAAAATAATAAATAAAAGGAATATGCTACCTTTTTATATTTCTTTTTTATTTATCCATGGTAGACTCATTGAGTTTCTTGGTCCCATTCAGTGGATTGGCAGATGAAGGGAGAATTCTGAAGCAGCTTCTCCATTACCAGCAAAACCATCAAAAGGAAACGGGACTCCCTACACTGTCAAACAAACCAACCATTCAACCTTGCATTAGCCAAATAAAATCAGAGACTGAAGAAAGGTCATAAGAGTGATACCTTAGCAACAACTTGAACAAGACAGCTGCAAGAATTACACGTCTCTACTACACTACCATCCGCAACATTGGTGGCACATCTACCCTTTTTAGTAAATTTTGCTTTCTTCAAAACAATACCTAATGAACAGAAACTAATTAAATAATCATCCTTGACATTCAGCATAGCAAATAGGGGATAAAAACCGTCAACAAATTAATTATCTCCCCAAAAAGAGAAGACTCCAGTGCCTCATTTGTACTGCTTTGATTTCCAAGGTGATATGCCACCTTAACTGAGCCATACATACTACAAATTAGATAGTGTTCATTTGGTCTAAACCTTGCTTGTGCTACTTTCCCTTTTTAAACTTCATCGTAAGACTAAAAGAAAATAATAATGACTTGAATTTAAGACACAATCAAACATAATTGTTCCCTACAAAAGCAAAAACCAAGAAAAACAACAACAAAAACATAAGTGTCTCCTTTAATTTGATCCCGGCAACAATTATGCCCCTTAACCAAAGTGCATATCTCCATGCCTATGTTAATATTAAAAACATTGCATAAAAGCAACAAAAACAATAAAATCCTTTTTCTTTCAATTTTATTAAACAAATAGACAGAACAGAAGAAAGCAGCACAAAAAACAGAAACCAGTCTGATCTCATCCAATTTACAAACGAAATCACAATAAAATATGAAGAAAACAAAAAACCCAAATACAATTAATACCCAAAATTGGTTTCTAACAAAATAAGTAATGCCAAAAGAAACCCAGAAAAACGCACCATACTCCTTCTCAACAGAAGCAGTATGGAAGATTCCAGAATAACAGAGCCATCTTTCAAGTGTGCATCCACTTGCAGACCATGAGGAACATGGTACAAACAACAAAGCTTCGTTCACGGAACAATTCCCTTCTTCTTCTACTATGTTTTTGAGTCCCATCTCTGCTTTTTTTCTCTTTTTCAATTTTGAACCTCTGTTTTCCTTGAGTTGATTCGATTGGAGTTTTCTTTTTTTATATATAGAAAGCTTGTATTTTTCTATAGCTGTTTATGCAGAAAGAGAGAGATCTGAAGTAGCAGTGGGGTTGATTTGAATTTGTGATGAAACGCTCACAAAATAAGAAAGGATTTAAGAAGATAGAGAGAATAGAGAAAGGAAAACAGAATCATCATCATTTCATCATCTATCTCATTACAACTGAATTTATAGGAATTATTTACTACCAGCTGTAACATTTCTCTAACAACTTATATTAACCGTTTCTATTGTCTTTTGTTGGCGGTAGGTATTGGGCTCATCATCTCCTGGTCCAATAAGCCTTGGTCTCTTGCTTCAACAGTCCACGCATGGCCCTCTTCATTAGGTAACATCTCAATCCCATCCTTAAACTCCTCATTTAATTTCCCAAACATAATCCTTAATTTTCCCGTCTTTCCCCTTTTCTCCTCATCAGCCTGTAATTTGTTTCCTCGTTTCTTCTCATCATTCTCCCGTCTTGCCTCCTGGCTCGTGACAATACCCCACTGCAATGGATGCTTGTCCCCAAGGATCAAAATCAGGAAATTGGATCGTAGCACCGTAAATCCTCCAGGTAGCATTCTCAATCCCTAAATTCGACCACTGAATCAACAATTGAGTCTGCCTATTGTTTCTTTTAATGACTCGTTTATCCAAAAATTGCAGGATAAACCCGAAGTTGTCCATTCGTAGTAAGTTCAGGTGGGTCTCGTGAAGCAACACTTTTATCCCCCATTTTTCTTTTCAAAAGGCTAATGTGAAATACTGGATGAAGTTTAGAATGAACTGGTAATTCTAATTGGTATGCGACTGAACCAATTCGTTTCTGTATCTTGTAGGGACCATAGTATCGAACAGATAGTTTCAAATTTTTACGTAGAGCTAAGGAAGTCTGCTTGTAAGGCTGAAGCTTAAGGTAAACTTCATCCCCTTCCTTAAATTCCCTGTCACTACGATTTCTATCTGCATAATATTTCATGCGATGCTGTGCTTTAGTGAGTTGTTCCAAAAGGATACTATTGATATATCCTCCCTGCATAAACTGCTGTACATCAGCCACCCTTGTCTCGCTTGACCAAGTCATTGTTGGAGGTGTATAGCCATATAGGGCATGAAAGGTGTTGTACCCAATTGTATGAAAACTATTGTTATACCACCATTCTGCGGCTGACCATGAAGTTTGTAACCTGGTCCATGTAGATTTTAGCACCTCAGAAGCTGTAAAAGGATGAACCAGAGGTAAAAAGCCCATATTTGGTGAATTTATCAATTATCACCAAAATAGAATTGAATCTATTAGAAGTAGGCAGCCCGTCAATAAAGTCCATAGTAATAAACTCCCAAGCATGCTGTGGAATAGTAAAGGCTGTAATAATCCAGGCTGTAAAACATGCTCATTTTTTATTCTCTGACAAACATCACATTGCTGCACATACTGTTTAACCAGTGCCTTCATTCCTTTCCATAAAAATACAACTTCAGCCTGTAATAAGTAGCCTGTATCCCATAATGGCCACCTTGTGGTGAATCATGAAGTATAAAGAATCTGCTATCTTAGACCACCTGTCTCACCACATAAACTTTACCTTTGTATCTCAGAACACCCTTAGCATAGGACCAGTTGCTATAGAATTATATCAAGCAGCAACTTAGGAATGAAATCCTTTGCCAAGAATCCTGCTCATAACTATTTTCCACCTCTTGAACCCAAGCAGAATAATAATTGTAGCAGATAACTGATTTAATTCTGATTTGTCTTCAAACTGTCTAGATAAAGCATCAGCAGCTTTTTATGTTTGCCCCTGCGAAACTGAATTGAGTAATCCAGTCCTACAATTTGTTAGACCTTTCTTCTGAATAGTATACTAATCTTCTGTTCTAACAAATGTTTCAAAGATTCATGATCTGTTTTAATAACAATGGACTCCCTTCAAGATAATGTCCCATTTAGAAATAGCCATTAATATTGCTATATACTCCTTCTAGATAGAAAATCAATTTGCTTTGGTCCCAAAGCCTTACTGAGGTAAGCAATTGGTCTGTCTTCTTGGGACAAGACTGCTCCTATACCCTAGAACTGGCATCAGTTTCTAACAAAATTGCTTTTTAAAATGGTAAAGCTAGCACAGGAGCCCTACATAGTCTCCTTAAGTTTGATAAATGCCTCTCTAGCCTCCTCAGTCCAAAAAAATTGATCTTTTTTCAACATAGTAGTGAGGGGTTTACTGATTTCTCCCCTAAATAAAATTTTCTGTAATAGCCAGTAAGCCCAAAAAAACCCCTCAAAGATTTCAAATTCCTTGGAATGGACCATTCCTTAATAGCTTGAATTTTTGAAGAATCTGTAGCTACTCCCTGTGGAGATAGTATGACCAAGGTACTCCACCTCTTATTGGCCAAAGAACATTTAGTTCTCTTAGCAAAAAGCTTATTCTGCCTTAGAATTTCCAACACAATTCTCAACTGTTGTGCATGACTATGTAAATCAGGCTGTAGATTAAAATATCATCAAAGAATACTAGGACAAATTTCCTGAGATAAGCTCCTAATAACATTCATAAGAGCTTGAAAAGTAGCTGGTGCATTAGTTAAGCCAAAGGGCATTACCTTGAATTCAAAATGACCATGGTGTGTCCTGAAGGCTGTTTTTGGAATGTCTTCAGGCCTGATCCGAATCTGCCAGTATCCAGATCGTAAATCCAATTTAGAAAAAAATTTTAGCTCCAGCTAATTCATCCAAAGATCATCCACGAAAAGTAGCTGTGCATTAGTTAAGCCAAAGGGCATTACCTTGAATTCAAAATGACCATGGTGTGTCCTGAAGGCTGTTTTGGAATGTCTTCAGGCCTGATCCGAATCTGCCAGTATCCAGATCGTAAATCCAATTTAGAAAAAATTTAGCTCCAGCTAATTCATCCAAAAGATCATCCACCAGGTATAGGAAATTTATTCTTAACAGTTAAAGCATTTAATTGTCTATAATCAATGCACATTCTCCAACTACCATCCTTCTTTTTAACTAACAAGCAAGGTGAAGCAAAGGGACTTTTGCTAGTTTGAATAATTGATGCTGCAACATTCAGTCACCTGTTTCTCAACCTCTGATTTTTGATGATAAGGCATTCTGTAAGGTCTGACATTAACTGCTTCAATTCCTGATTTTAGAATAATAGAATGATCATGCTTCCTTTGGAGGCATTCCAGTAGGCTCCTCAAATCATCTCTGTAATCAGCAATTACTGCTTGATTGTAGGAGGAATTTCATTATAACCAATCTCTGCATTCAGCATATAGATCTCCCCAACTGCTTCAGGATTCTTAATCATCAATTTCTGCATTTTGTTGCTTGAAATTATCCTCATTGCAGTAGTGTGAAATCCTCCCCTCAATACAATCTCTTGGTCACCCATTTTAAAACTAAGAGTCATATTGTTAAAATCCATTAATACTGGACTATATTTCTTCATCCAATCAACTCCTAACACCATATCACTGCCTCCAAGGGGTAAAACCCTGAAATCATGTGCAAAAAGAAAATCTTGCATCTCCCAACTCAGTTGTTTACTCTTTGCTGTACTATAAAGTTTATCACCATAGTTACTGTGATAACTAAGGGATTAGTTTCCTCCAATTCCTGCCCTTCTTTAGCCCACCTATTAGTGACAAAACTGTGGGTGCTGCCACTATCAATTAATATACTGAGTGGTTTCCCTTTTATGAATCCTTGAATCCTCAAGGTACTACTTCCTAAACTGCCAGTAATTGCATTCATAGAAATCTCAGGATCTTTTTCTTCTGATGGTATTTTATCAATATTATGTTGAGCTGCTTGTAATTCTTCAGCCTCCTCTTGCTCCCCACTTCTTCATAGAATTCAATTGCTTCATTTGCAATGATGTCTGGAGTAAACTTGTCACCACATTTATAGCATAAATTATTGGCCCTTCTATAATCCAGTAGCTGCTGTCTGTTTGGAGTGAGCCCTGAACTGTTTTTCAAAGGTGAACTTACTGAAGGATTAGAATTCCTGGAACTGGTAAAATTCCCTGGCAGCATTGGTCTGGAAATACTTCTGAATTTTTTACTTTCACTTCTGCTGCTAGCTCATAGAGTTTTGCTTTCCTAGCAGCTTCAGCTACAGTCTTGGGTTCCAAAACCTTCACCTTATGCTTCAATTCCTCCTTAAGACCACTCAAAAAACTGGAAACAAAATACTCATCCCCTAGTTTCAGGATTAATCTGAAGAAGGTAAGGTTGAAGTTCCTCAAACTGAGCTTCATACTCCTCCACAGAGGACAGTTGAGTCAATTTATTAAATTCATCAATAACATCATATATCCTTTATTAGCAATCGATGACACATATCAGAAACAAACTCATGCCAAGTAACTCGACTTTTCTTCATAATACCCATCAAACCACACTTCAGCCTTACCATAAGTACTGCAGCTATTTCTAACTTCTGTAATTCAGGAACAACAAATATAGAAAAATATTCTCACCTTTCCTAATCCAACTCCTAGGATTAGTACCATCAAGAACTGGAGCTCTATTTTGGTTTCGGAAGAAACAGTGTTGTTATTGCTGGAATGTTTTTCCATAAATGGATGACCTTACTGACAGATTGTTCCCCTGACTCCGTTGTATTTACTGTTGTTTATCTTAAAAACATCATGTGGCAAGGTAGGCTTGGATGCTAGATTCCCGGTTGTTCTGGTTGAAAGAGTATTTCTCCTTATCATCAAGGACTGTAACTTGTAATGACACTTAGTTGCATCCTTTATCTGAATTGTTGGTGCTTGTGGTCGTTCTGCAGGAGTAGATTGCCCAGATTCAGCCCCAGCCTTCTGCATCAACCCCAATAGTTGCTGAAGCATGTTCTTCGTGTCAGTTGTTAGCCTCCAGTAGTTGCATCCTCCGCTGCTCCCAAGTACTCTGTTGAGTAATCCACCAAATTGGAACTGGCTCCCCTCAGAAGACTCTGCTGGATCAGCAGTAATGACCGGCGGCTGATCATTGTGAGTCATCTGCTGCAATTTCCTTGTCTTACCCAGCTTGAGAAAAAAAATTTAGTATTTTGGATCAAAAATGGCCTGGCTCTGATTACCAATTGTGATGAAACGCTCACAAAATAAGAAAGGAT